GGGTCATGTCAGTGTTTTTCCAGGGTTTTCACCTTGCACATCCATCCCTGGAAGTGTCCAAGGCCAGGTTGGAACCTGGGATAGTGGAAGGTGTCCCTGCCCATGGCAGGGGGTGGAACTGGATGATCCTCAAGGTCCCTTCCCACCCAAACCATTCCATGATTCTCTTCCAGGTGCAGTGTTTAGTTCAATCCTCTTGTTTCCTCCTGCCTGTGTTTGCTGTTTTACAGTGTCTCAGTTGGGTTTTGTGGCATTTTATCATATCCCAGTTGGTTTTCAGCGGCCTCACATCATTTCTGGGAGCCCTTTTCCTCATCCAGGGCAGGTTTTGTGCGGTTCCCAGAGTTTTTTGGGATTTAGGAAGCGTGTGGCCTGGTGGACATTCATGTTACAGAGGTGGAACATGGAGTTATCCTGAGCCAGGTTTAGTTGTGGCTGTGGATGTGCCATCCCAGCCGGGCTGCCCCGTGAGCCAGAACAACAAATATCCCAATCCCAGATGGAAATTCCTCTTTAGAGCCATCCTGGAAAAAAAAAAACCAGCTCTAAAAGGGAGAGGTTTTGGTGTGGGTTGTGTCAGACAGTTTGTGCCTCTCTGTACCTCCGTCAGGAAAACGTGTGGGAAAAAATTCCCATTAAAATTAATTCCTGGAGGATTAATGTGTGGAGAGGGAAGTGTTGGAATCCTCCCTGGAAGTGTCCAAAAACCACGTGGATGTGGCACTGGAGGACAGGGTTTGGTGGTGGCTGAGTCGATGGTTGATGACCTTGGAGGGCTTTTCCAGCTTTAATTCCATGAGCAAAGGCCACGTTGGCCATGCCGGGGTTTTTCCTGCCAGTGGATGGTCTGGATTTCCCTGGAGAGGAGCCCCATTCCTGGTGGGCTGCCCCGATGTCCCCCTGCCCCCGGAGGTGTTCCAGTGGGAGGAATTCCTCATGTTGGGATTTCAGAACTTCCCTGAGCCTGAACAGTTTTTCCTCAGGGAGTTCCACTCCTGGCAAGCTCAGGCCTGGAAGATTCCAGCCTGGGAAGGGAACTGAGGAATCCCAGGTGGCTGCAGGAGAAGTTGGACCACCCTTAGTGCTTCCAGGCTGCATCACGTCCAAATTTTCCCACGTGCACATACAAACTCTGGGAATATTTCCATTCCTGCTCCTCCTTTTCCAGTGGAGGGAGATTTTCCAGGCACCTCCTGTCTCTTGAAGGCTTTGGGAATTTGGGTTTTGTTTTCCATTCCCCTCCTCCTGAGCTGGAAAATGACCCTGTGGGAAGGCAGCAGAGCACAGTGACTCTGCCGTGCCCCTGGATCCCTTTTCACCAGGAAAATGGAATCCAGACTTTTCCAGGGAAGAACGTTTCGTGCTGTCTGTAGGGATCGGTTGTTGTTGATGATTTTCAGTGCAGGGAGTGAAATTCAGCCTTGGACTTTTATCTTTCTTGGGCTGCTCCTGAAGTGGCTCCATGGGGAAAAAAATAAATATCCAGGGAAGATATTTTGTGTTCCTGGTGGCCCAGTGCTTGAGTTAAAGAGGAAAATCATTTTAAAACCACCTTTTTTTTGTGTCTGCTAAAACAACTTATGCTGCACATTGGGGATTTTATTTATATTGTATTATAAATGTAATAATATAAACCAATCATGTAATATAATAACACAATATAAATATATTATTTCTATTCCTACTGTAGTAGGAAGATCTTTTTATCCCTTAATTCAGTGAGTGAATTTCTGTTCCAGTTTTCCTCATCAGCTCGTTTTTCCCTGGGAATCCCAACCAGGCAAACGAATCCTGGCAAAACCCCCTCTGGTTTTCAAGGATTGAAACCTTAAAACCCCAAACATCACTTGCACATCTGCCTTTTGGGGTTGTTTTTCCCACCTGAAACTTGAGCTTCCACCAGAAATTCCTAAGCATTTTCCAACCCCAAAGGCTGGAGTGGGGAAAGGATTTAAGGTCCAGAGTGGTGCAGGATTTGTCCTGGGAGTGGAGGAATCACTTTTCCAGGCCCTTCCAGCTCTGGGGAGAATCCAGGTGGATTCTGTTCTCTTCCATATTTGTGTCCTGCCCATTTCTAGTCCTGTTGCTTTTGCTTTTTCCCAAAAACAACTGGTGGGGCTGCTCCAGTTGCCAGTTGGACAATCCCGGTGGGAGCGTCGGCCGGAGTCGTTTGTCCCCGTTGTTCCCAAGCAGTTGTTGGGAAGAGGCTCCAAGCCCGTTATCCTTCTGGGAATAGCTCAGCCTACAACTGGGAGCAGACCCTGTGTCCTCAACAGGAGTGTGAGGAAGGGCTGGGAGAGGGTGGCTGGGTAATCCAGGTTTTGTTCTGGAGATCCCTGTGCTCCAAAGGTTTGTGGGAAGGACTCTGAGGCTGCTCGGGGTCTCCTGCCAGACTCCAGGAAGGAATTGCTTCCATTGCCAGATGGAAAACGGGGAGGTGGAAGCTGAACTTGGTGGCTCTGAGGACAGGGATGGACATCCCAAGGGACACTGGCATTGGAATGCCAATAAAATGCCAGATTCCTGGGGTTTTCCCTCCTGGAAGGAGGATGGAGCTGTACAACCCTTAGGATGGAAGGTGGATTCGTAGCATGGAGGACTCCAGTGTCCCCTTTTCTCCCTGTTTTCCATCCTTTCTCCGAGAGCTTTTGGTGGATAACAGGGATGAAAACAGGGATTTCCTCGGCCTGTTTTGGTTGGATATAAGGCAGATGTGGGAATTATTTTACCTGCTGGCGTTGCCTACAAATAATAAATTGCTCAGATCCTGCGGACTGAGAAGCAACTCAGAACTTCCTCAGTCCTCTTACCAAATCCACCTGGAATACACTGAAAATTCACCTGGAAATTCCCTGCAAGCACATGAAGACAAAGCCACATGAAAGTATATTTTCAGCCACAGCCCCTGTTTGCTGGTAACCAGTGTGACCAAGGAATCCAGTCCAGAAGGAACCCAGTCCCTCCCACTGTTTATTACATAACCATCTAATTAAAGTAATCAAACAGGGAGGACTGGAGCCTTGGAAAACTTCCCCACAGCCTGGGTCAAAAATACTTGGAAGACCAGGGTCTCCAAGGGTTTTATTCACGTGGAGATGTGCTGTGGGAATTAATAAGGTGTATTTAAACAGAAATAAGTGTGTTTTTGGTGTCAGCCGCTGCTTCTGGGCACAGAGAAAATCCTTTAACTCCCGATTTTCAAAGGGACTTCAAGGAGTGCTGCTCCCTCTCCTCCCTGAAAGGATCTGGTGGATTCAAAGCTCTCCTTGGAGTTGCTTTGAGTTGGAAGTTGGGTGATTTTCAGGCTTATTTATTATTTCTGCACCATGAGACTTGCAGGTGAATCAGTCAATTGTGTCTCTGGGATGGTTGGAATTCCCTGGGATGGTTGGGGTACTTCAGTCCTGATAATCAGGAGGGGATGTGGATGGAGGTGGAGGAGAGATGAAGTAAAAAATTCCCGGCCCCGTTTTCAGCGGATCAAACGCTCGGCTGTGTCTCCGGGAGCTCTGAGAACCTGGAATTTCCCACGGGATTTGCGTAACGTGCCGGGTGTTCAGAGCTGGAAAAGCCCCTCTTGAGCGTGGAGTTGAGGTGGGTCAGGACTGGAATTCCAGCCTGGCTCAGTCTGGGATGTTCCCCCTGGGTTTGGGGCTGTGAATGGGGCTGGAATTCCAGCCTGGCTGAGTCTGGGATGTTCCCCCTGGGTTTGGGTCCATGAATGGGGCTGGAATTCCAGCCTGGCTCAGTCTGGGATGTTCCCCCTGGGTTTGGGTGAACGGGGCAGGACACGGAGAAAACTGGGGTCTGTTGGGCGGGATCTGTGAGTCCTGGAGAGGAGAGTTTTCCAACCAGCATTTCCCCCAGTGCTGCAGGATGTGGGTGTCCCACAGGCACAGCTCTCTGCTCTGCTGGGGCTGGACATGGACCTTTTTTTTCCCTCAGAAAACACCAATTTTGGAGGTGTGGGATCTTCTCCCTGCCCCAGGGCTGGGTTTGCAGAGTGACACCTTCCCTTTTTAGGGTCACAGAACGACCATGGGGTCATGGAATGGTTTGGGTGGGAAGGGCCCATCCAGTGCCACCCCCTGCCCTGGGCAGGGACACCTTCCACTAGCCCAGGTTGCTCCAGCCTGGCCTTGGACACTTCCAGGGATCCAGGGGCAGCCACAGCTTCTCTGGGAAACCCATTCCAGCCCCTCCCCACCCTCACAGCCAGGAATGCCTTCCCAATATCCCATCTCTCCCTGCCCTCTGGCAGTGGGAAGCCATTCCCTGTGTCCTGTCCCCCCATCCCTTGTCCCCAGTCCCTCTCCAGCTCTCCTGGAGCCCCTTTAGGCCCTGCAAGGGGCTCTCAGCTCTCCCTGGAGCCTTCCCTTCTCCAGGTGAACATTCCCAGCTCTCCCAGCCTGGCTCCAGAGCAGAGGGATCCAGCCCTGGGAGCAGCTCCAGGGCCTCCTCTGGATTCACTCCAGCAGCTCCACGTCCTCCTGCTCTTTAGCTCCCAGTGGATTTTCTGGGGAGTTTTTCCTCCTCAGTTGCCACCTCGTGCAGGACAAGCAGACAAGGTGTTCCTGAACCACTGGAAGCTGTTGGAGGCCGCCTGTCCTTTCCCTTTTTCCCAATTCCAGGTGCTAAGGGGAGGAAATATCCCATTTTTCTGGCACTGAACAAGCCTCCCTGTGCTCTGTCACCTCGGGTACCCCCAAGGGCCTTGCAGGGAAGGAGAATCCCCAAATTCTTCCCACAGATGGATTAGTTCATGCCAGGGGTGTTGTGCTGGAATTCTGGGAATGCCCAATCCCCCTGAAACAGCTGTAGGGGAAAAAAACCCCTACAAACTTAGGTAGAATAATACCTTGAAAACAAACGTTATCAGAGTGTATTATGTTCAGATGATTTAACTTTTATAATTCTTTTTGAAGGCACAATGACCTGAGTTTTTAATAATTTTGTTTGGCCACCGCATAGAGGCTTCAGCATCCTTTATATGCTACATATATATCTCTATATATCTGCATATAGATATATTCTAGGTTATATATCTAGTATATATATGTATCTAGTATATAGAGTTGATATATATATGCTTGACATATATAGTGTATATATATATATACACACTATATATATATATATATATATACACACTATATATATATATGATATATTAGATGATGGGAGCAATTGTTGCTTTGAGGATTTAGGAGCTGTCGAGGTGTTTTGGCTTTTTTTTCCCAACAAATATGTGGTTTCTGAGGCCCTGGGTTGCTGATGGTGCCCCAAGGGGTCATGTCCCAGGACATGGCTCACCTCTGCTGGGTCCTGTTTTCCCAGGGGAGGGTTGGGAAGGGTCTGGAAGCAGCTGTTGGGGTGTGCTGAGGTTCCTCACAGGCCCAGGGAGGCACTGAAACACCTCCCAAGTGGTCTTTTCCCTCCCTGCTGTGGCTGCAGAGTGGAATCCCGAGGCTGAGGGAACTGGTCTGACTGGGAGTGGTAAATGGGGGCAGGAGGAGGGTGTTGCCTGAGCTGGTGGCTGGGGAGTGGAGGTGCCACAGGGACAACGAATTGGAAGGGTGCAAGGACAAAACTGCAGCAGGACAGGGGGGTTTTATCTCATTTTTGGGCTCTGGGGCAGCTCATCAGCGCCGGGTTGGTGACCTGGGACCTTCTGCACATTCGGGTTGGACCCTGCTGAGGTGGCACCAGCCCACCAAAACCAGCTCCAGTCATATTGGTGTGGTTCATTGTGGCTTTAGGATCATCCCTGTGGGATTCATGATCTCCCTGAAGGTTGCCCCGGGGACAGAACACCGGGAAGGGCTGGCCAGGCTGCTCTTTGGGTGGGAGGTTGATGATTAAACGTGGTTGGGACTGTGTTGTGGGTTTTTATCCTGTGCTGACCCTGTTGAGTTAATGCCACGTGAGGAGCAAGTCCTGGAGGTGATGCATCTTAGTGGGGATTTTGGGCACCTCAGTATTAAAAAAAAAAAGATCTAAAGCTGTTAGAGAGGGGACACAGGGATGGGGAAGGGTCTGGAAGGGCCGAGCAAGGAGCAGCTGAGGGGACTTGGTTTGTTCAGCTGGAGAGGAGGAGACTGAGGGGAGACTCATGGTGGTCTGCAGCTTCCTCAGGAGGGGCAGCTCCCACCTCTGCTCCCTATGACAGGGACAGGACCCAGGGAAGGGCTGGAGCTGTGCCAGGGCAGGGTCAGGTTGGATCTCAGGGAAAGGTTCTTCCCCCAGAGGGTGGTTGGGCACTGATCAAACTCCCAGGGAATGGGCACAGCCCCAAGGCTGCCAGAGCTCCAGGAGGGTTTGGACAACACTCTGAGGGACAGGGGGGGATTGTTGGGGTGTCTGTGCAGGGCCAGGGGTTGGATCAATGATCCCTGTGGGTCCCTTCCAGCTCATGATATCCTCTAATTCTGTGATCTCACCCATGCCGGACACCAGGGTTGTCGTGACACTTCACACCTTTGAGTCTTGTTGGGCTGAGAGCACAGTGTCCCACCCCCTCCCTCCTGCTCCAGCCCCTCCACACAACACACCTCCACACCCTGTTTTCCTGTGGTAGTCCAGCATAACCTCTAATCCTCTCTCTCAATAAAAGAGGATTAAGAGAGGGAACATTTGCACCTCGTCCTTCCCGTGGTAATCCCGCCGTGTGGGGAGCCAGGGCTGTGCCTTCCTGCCACGCCAGGAATGCTGTGAGCCAGCAGCACTTGTGCTTATTGGGTTAGGAATTCTTAAAAGACCACTTTGCCTGTTAATTAAAAAAGCTCAATCGACTAAAGATGAGTAACTCGCTTAATTAAAGTGACGTTAAAACGGCTCCTGGGCTGTGCAGGTGGAAGGAAAAGGGGTTGGAATCGGGGTTTCTGGGTGGTTCTTTAAGGTGACAAAGTATTACCTTGTCATGTGTTGTGTTTCCTAAATTCGTGTCCAGCCGTACATCCTGCAAAAAAAATTGTAGGGAGGAAGGTTCTGGCCCAGGTGTTACTGGTGGATCCTGGGAGAGCCACCTCTGCCTCATGTGAGCCCTGCAGAGCCCAGGGGGAAGCACAGGAATGTTAAATGGGAATTCCAGCCCGGGCTTTGTGATTTTACGGTGTAGTTTGACCTCCAGTTTTGGGTTACACTCGACTGGAATAGGCTGGGATGTGGTGGGTGCTCTTCCCGTGGTTAATGTGTCCTTTTTCCTTGGTGTCTCCATGGATAGGGTTGGTTCCACTGTGGTGTTGTTTGTTGGAGCCAAAGCTTGGGAGGAGCCTTCAAGGAGACTCAGAACCCACCTCATCCTTGTGTTCACCCTGATGAAAAATATTTTCCATATTTGGTGCTAAATATGGGGAAATTAAGCTGCCCAAAGGACCCGTTTCAAATGTCATCCTATGTCAGGAAATGGGGTCCTTTCACACACCACCAAATGGTGGCTTTTGGCAGCAAACAGGAGGTTTTCTGCCTGACAAATATCTGTGAAACCCCATTTGTTCCTTTTCCATGAAGGATGGGATGTGTTTGCTCCTTGCTGCGAGATCCTGATAAACAGAAGGAATTTTGGGATTGCTTTCCACAGTCCATTTGATTTGAGGTCTTTCTGCGCTGAGACTGGGGGCACAGGGGGTTATTTTTTTCCCCATCCTGTCCAAAACCTCGTGCAGTTTCCAGAGGGGCAGATGTTTCACTAGAAAAAAAAACAAACCTGTTTTTTATCAGGCTGAGGTGCAGGCCTCAAAATCCTCTCCGTGAGCAAGGGAAGGCTTTATTCACAAATATGGAAAAATAAGATTTTCGGGGGGTTTAATGCGCGTTTTAAATGAGTTGTGGTAGCGACTGAGATATTAATCAATCAAGGTGTTTGCTTATCAAACCTGCAGTGGGAATTCCCTCTAGGGAATCTACCCTTTCTCCTCTAAAACCCATGCCCCTGCCTCCTTTTAAGATGGCTTTAATTGGAACGGCTTCTTTGGTGGTTTTTCTTATATTTATTGCCAATCTGAACAGGGTTTCAGGTGAATGAGGTGTTGGATGAGTTAGTAAAAATGGTTTATTGTGATTTATTATCCTAATTTAACATTCCAGTGGGTAAATACTCATCCCCACGTTCAGTCTGTGTCTTCTGCAGCCCCTGAACTAAACCCACTGCAGAGGGATAAAGGTCACAAATAATCCCTGTGTAAGGGAGGTTCTCCTCTTATGCTGCTGTTCCTCATCATTTTAAGCGTGGACTTTTTATTTTGGGCTAAGTTTAAAGCTGATGGTGGTGGCAGAGGACGGTGTCTGTGCTGGGATGACCCACGTGGGGTTTATGGCTCAAGTTATGAATTGTTACCTTCAAATTGTGGTCCCCGTTGTTTTAGTGTTGAGTTTGTGGGGTTTATGTTCAGTTTGTGTCGTTTGCTGCTGGTTTGGGGTGGTGCAGCTCAGCTCTTCCAGCTCCTCCTGCATCCAGAGCTGCTCCAGCGACGGTGGCTGACAGGGCATTTATTAAAGTGCTTTATTTTAAAAGCACTTTGTCTTTAAAAATACTTCTGGCTGTGATCCAAGGCTGCTGGACTGAGCTCTGACTACCAGGAGATGTCTTTGCAGGCCCCATCCTATCACCAGGGTTTCCTTATGCCCCAAACTGTTTCTGGAGAGAACCAGGAGCAAACGTTCCTTTTCTGGAAGGATGAATGCTCCTCTCTAAAATCAGTCAGGAGCAACTTTCCTTTCATTCCCCGTGCCCAGATCCCTGTTCAGATCCACGTGCAGACCCCTTGGGATGCTCTGCTGGGGCAACAGCAGCATCCATGGGTGGGTGGTCACCTGCAGGAGCTGCCAGTCAGGGTGTCTGCCCACAAAGCCTGGCTTGAATCGGGAATCTTTTGGGAATAATTCGAATATAGGAACGACTAGCCAAGGTTTCAGTGGTGTTGACTCTTGACTGGGAGGTTTCCTTCTCATGGAAGCATCCGTTGTCTCACAGCTTTGTCTCCTGATGAGCTGAAAGTTTGTCAGTTATATTCTGAGCGTGTTTTTCCTTGGATAAGTAATTTTATTTTAATTTTAATAGGAATAATTACAACTCTAATTATTGCTATTCAATTTAAAATAAAATTACTTATTTTAATTAATAAATAATTAAAGTTTATTTAATTTAAGTGAGAAAAGCAGCAATAAACCCTGTCAGGAGAAGCACAGTGGCTTGGGGAAATCCTGGTGCTGGGCAAAGGGTTTGCTTGGAATATTTTCCCCCATTTTTTTCTGTGGTGACGGCAAAATAAGTTCCTTGGGAGGAGAATGGGGCTGATTGTTTTTCAACCTGCTCCCAAGCACCTCAGTGCCTCGGTCCCTTCCTCTCGGGGGCTGTTTGGATTCCTGCTATTTTTGGGTGGTTCTAGTGTTACAATCCAAGCTGTAAACAGGGTCTGACAACACCCCACGGAGCTCCAGCAGCCTTTTAGGGAGGGTTGGGAGTTTGTGAAGAGGGTTTGGCTCGAGCCATAACCTCGGTATGTTTGGAACACTCTCCCAGCAGCACTTCTGCTGTCCCTCAGGATTGAGTTCCTCCAGTGTGTGCCTGGAGAGAAGATTCCAACCATCCCCCAGCACTGCCAAGGCCACCTCTGACCCCTGTCCCCAGGTGCCACATCCACAGGGCTTGGAAATCCCTCCAGGGATGGGGACTCCACCCCTGCCCTGGGCAGCTGTGCCAGGGCTGGACAGCGCGTTCCAGGAAGGAATTTTCCTCAATATCCAACCTGACCCTCCCCTGGCACAGCTTGAGGCCGTTTCCTCTTGTTCTGTGACTTGTTTCTTGGGAGAAGGGACCAACCCCAAACTGGGTCCAACCTTCTTTTAGTTTGGTCAAAATAACCCCCTTGACAAAGTGCTTTTTCCTGGTCTGTATCCCGCTATCTCATCGACCCCTCCATGGCATTCCATGATCTGGTGTCAGTCAATCCAGAGCTTTAATTCACTGACTGTACTTAGAAGGTCACATTATTTGGGGGGGATATTTTATCATTCCCTGCAACTGGTCATCTCTTTCTTTCTCCTCTTTGCCCTGAGGCTTTTGGGGAGTCTGTTTCTGAAGGTTCACATTCCTAATTCTTGTATTTGAAAATATCTTTGGGCTGTACTGTTCCTTTCCCACAAACGTGTGGGAGACAGGGACTGAAAATATCCGTGTGCCTCCTGTTCCTTCTGCCCAGGTTTGTGTTCACGGCGTGTGGTCCAGGGCCCTGCCGAGTGTTTAAGCTGCTCCTTTGCCACCGGATGCGTTAAATAAATAAGATTTACGTCATGTTTGGGCTTGGGTTGGAATGATTTTGCCTGTTTCTGGACTCGAAACAAATAACGCAACAAAAGTGGCCTCCCGAGCTCCTGGGGAAGGGTGTGGAGCAGCAGGAGGGGCTGAGGGAGCTGGGGGGGCTCATCCTGGAGCAAAGGAGGCTCAGGGGGGACCTTGTGGCTCTGCAAGTCCCTGACAGGAGGGGGGAGCCGGGGGGGGTCGGGCTCTGCTCCCAGGGAACAAGGGACAGGCCAAGGGGAAACGGCCTCAAGCTGGGCCAGGGGAGGGTCAGGTTGGGGCTGAGGAGGAATTTGTTGCTGGAAAGGGTGGTGAGGCCTTGGCAGGGGCTGCCCAGGGAGGATTGGAGTGCCCATCCCTGGAGGTGTCCCAGGAAGGCCTGGCCGTGGCACTCAGTGCTCTGGGCTGGGGGACAAGGTGGGGATGGGGCACAGGGTGGACTCGATGATCTCAGAGATCTTTTCCATCCTCAATCATTTTGGGATTCCATCCTGCCATCCTCGTTTGTGCCCCTGAGCTGTTGAGGTCAGAGGCAATTGTGTGCCCCCCTTGAGCATCTTCCCCGAAAGCTGTAACTCAAAGTGGCAAAACCAAGTCCCAGCTTTGACCAGACCCTTCAATGTCACACATGAGGAGCTCCGAGATCCCTGACGACCTTTCCTCCGGCAAAGATGGCGGCCTGTGGGGGCCGGGCCGTGTCCTTTGGAAGCGCGGATTTTCCCAAGCTCTTTAAGTTCCTGGTGCGGTCGTTATTTGGACACCATGGGGGGGGTGATTCCTGTCCCTCTTGCCTGTGGCAGGGTCCTTAACCCCCGCCGTGTCTCTCGCCCCTCCGCAGTGCCTCTGGATGGAAGAGCACGGCGTGGCGCAGGCGGAGCACATGGCCACCATCGAGGCGCACGCCGTGGCCCAGCAGGTGCAGCAGGTGCATGTGGCCACCTACACGGAGCACGGCATGCTGAGCGCCGACGAGGACTCGCCCTCGTCCCCCGAGGACACGTCCTACGACGACTCCGACATCCTCAACTCCACGGCCGCCGATGAGGTCACGGCTCACCTGGCGGCCGCGGGTGAGCCACGGGCACGGGAATGGGTGGAGGGGGGCAGAAAGGACCTCCTTGGTTTCTGAACTCCTTCTCCCAGAGGAGCCTGGATCCAATCCCAGCCCCAGATTTGGTCGGTGTTTAAGTCTAGGGAATCGCAGAGGTGCGGCTGAGCCTTTGCACAGCTTTGTCCTGCAGCATTAAGGCTGGTAGATAATATGTAATTAAATTAATATGTAGAAATAATATATAGAAATAATATCTCAATATAATTATGTAATATATAACATAATATTATAATAGCATTATATTATTATAAAATATATATTATAAAATTATAATATATAATTTATAAAATTATAATATATATTATAAAATATATATTATAGAATATATAAATATAGAATATAAATAAATATATATAAATATATAATAAATATAATATATAAATATATATTATAGAATATATAATAAATATATACAAATATATATTTGTATATAATAAATATATATCTATAGATAATAAATATATATTTTATTTTATAATTTATATATTTATCATATATTACATAATATATATTTTATAATAATATTTATTATATATTATATAACTCGGGATTTTCAGTTTCTTTCCCATTAGAACCGGTCCTTAATCCCTGGGGAGAAGCCTCAGGCTCCTGTCGAGGTGTCCAAGCAGAATTCCTGGCATTTTACCCAGCTCTCTTCTCCCAGGCCACCGGGATCTCCTCAGTCCAGCCACTTATTTAAAGTCTTGGGGCGTTTTTTCAGTGTGCCTGGAAGATAAAATACAGAATTACGTGTTTGTGAGGAAAACTTTAGACTGAAACACGTGACTTTCCCTGGGACTGAGCTGGGATTTGGGGAACGGAGCCTTTTGATGGAACCTCCGGGATGCCAGAGAGGAGAGCTCGGGAAGGGATTTGTGTCACATGGACAGCCTTGGGACACATCCACACAAGGGCAACATCCTTTCTGGCCAGTTCCTGAGCTGATTCCCCCGTTGTGGTTGGATTTGCAGGCCCTGTCGGGATGGCAGCAGCCGCTGCCGTGGCAACGGGGAAGAAACGGAAGCGACCACACGTCTTTGAGTCCAACCCATCCATCAGGAAGAGGCAGCAGACACGTTTGCTCAGGTGAGGGTCCCACCTTCCCTCAGACACCTTTGCCAGGTAAGGATCCCCCACCTGCCCTCAGACACCTTTGCCCAGGTAAGGATTCCCCACCTTTCCTCAGATACTGTTGCCCAGGTAAGGATCCCCCCTTCCATCAGACACCTTTACCAGGTAAAGATGTTCACCTGCACTGAGACACCTTTGGCCAGGTAAAGATTCCCACCTTCCCTCAGACACCTTTGCCCAGGTAAAGATTCCCCCTTACCTCAGACACCTTTGCCCAGGTAAAGATTCCCTTCTGCCCTCAGACACTTTTTCCAGGTAAAGATTCCCTTCTGCCCTCAGACACCTTTGCCAGGTAAGGATCCCCCCTTCCCTCAGACACCTTTGCCCAGGTAAAGATTCCCCCTTCCCTCAGACACCTTTCCCAGACAAGGATTTCCCACCTTCCCTCAGACACCTTTGCCCAGGTAAGGATCCCCCCTTCCCTCAGACACCTTTGCCAGGT